ATAGACAGCCAAATGCTGCTCATATTCTAAACAAATCTCAACCACTCTGAAGTTTGTCTCCAGGCACCAAACTTAAAACAGGCATTTAAAAAGCTGTTACCCACCCCCCAAAAAACTGTACAATTTAATCACATGCTGAAAGGCTCCACCCACATCCCTGCCAAAAAGGAGAAAGAGAAATCCAGAATGAAATAACTAAGCAATGGCAATAATCATCAATAGATATTATGTGAACATATGATGGGAAACTTCAGGATTAAAAGATCAGGCAGCTGACAACAGCAACCCACTAGATAATGTTACACCCAAAAGAGAAAAATCGCCACACAGTATGTGCCTATTAATGTAATTCAATACAAAGTACTTCACTATCTGTTAAGTAGTCTTACCAAATATCAAACAAGAATCTAAGAGTCTTAAGATTAACCACGAGTTCACAGCAAATACAGAGGAGAAAGGAACATGCTACATGATGCCACACGGATACATGCAACAAAATCCCAACTGTGAGAAATTCTGCAGGGCAAATGAAATGCATCCCCCCCCACCCCCCAAATGGTAAATCACAAGACTGGAAAAAAGCAGTGGGCAGGAGGATACAGAGATTGAGAATTATTTATCAAACCAAACGCTATGTAGCCTTTTTTGGATCCTGATTCAAACAAATCAATTGGGGGAAAAAAATGAGAATTAAGGCAATATGCTGAATATTGAATGATATTAAAGAATTACTAATTTTGAGTGTGCTAATAGTACTGTAAGAGAGTCCCAGGAAGTGCAGTGGTAAAGAACCCGCCTGCCAATGCAGGAGACGTTAGAGACTCAGGTTCGATCCCTGGGTTGGGAAGATACCTGCAAGTAGGAAATGGCAACCCACTCCAGTATCCCTGCCTGCAAAAACCCATGGACAAGGAGCCTAGTGGGACACAGCCCACAGGGAAGCTGAGAATCGAACACGACTGAGCACCACAGTGCTGTGGATTTACAGACAAACATCATGAGATATTTACAGATGGAACAAGTCTGGGATTTGTTTTTAAATTATCCAGTTGATGGAGAATGAGAGAGTTAATAGAAGACACAATATTCACGTTTCAAACTGTTGAAATGGGTCATGGGTATATGGTGATTCATTTTACTATTACACCTTTATATGTTTCAAATCTCCCACATTTGAATGTTAAAGAAAGAGAGAATGTCAGAGCGCTGTATGAAAAATATCTATGACTGGCAAAACTCTCAAAATTAAATTTTAAGAGGTTTTTGCATCAAGAGATCTTCATTTAAAAATCAAAATCAAAAATACACGTTTAAGTACTGCCTTTAAACACTACATTTTGCACGTATTAAAGTAATGACTTCACCTATTTCATGTTTTCATTTTATGTCTGGTTCTTACTACTGACATTTGCCAATACACGCAAACACCCTTCCCCGAAGGAACCAAAGTCTGAATATTCTAACCCCTACTAAACACCTCAGGTGGTCCTTCTTTCCATTTTCTTTATTTCAAGTCCTAAATATTTTGCTCAGAGTCTTGCTAAAGACTTCTTACGATCTCTGTTTTTAGTTTAAACACACAGCAATTCACCTTCCATACTGTTCCTTCAGTGGATCCTTAATATCCAGAATAAAATCAAGACTTCTCTTCCTGACATACACTGCTCTCAGAAAACTGGTCCCTCTCTATCTTCATAACACTCTCACTAGTACACTATATCATCTCATACTCTACTCATTCTAAACTATGTACAGTACTTGTATAATAGATCTCAGATGAACTATCGATGCTTCTTCTCTTCTAAAGCTCAGTTCCCTTAAACTAAAACCACCAATTCTACATCTCTTCTACTTCCAGGTTAATTAATTACTATTGCCTCTTCCCAGGTGGCCCTAGTCGTAAAGAACCCATCAGCCAATGCAGATGTAAGAGACACTGGTTCAATCGCTGGGTAAGGAAGATCCTCTGGATGAGGGCATGGCAACCCACTCCAGTATTCTTGCCTGGAGAATCCCACTGAAAGAGGAGTCTGGCAGGCTACAGTCCAAGGGGTTATAAAAAGTTGGACACGACTGAAACAACTTAGCACACACGGTACAAGACTCACCTTTACTATCAGCTCCTTTGCAAGCCTACCCAGACTTTCTTTTCTGCCTGATTACCCTATACTTTCACAGTAATCTACGCAATAATCAAACCAGTCCATCCTAAGGGAAATCAGTCCTGAATGGTCATTGGAAGGACTGATGCTGAAGTTGAACCTCCAATACTTTGGCCTCCTTATGTGAAGAACTGACTCACTGGAAAAGACCCCGATACTAGAAAAGATTGAAGGCAGGAGGAGAAGGGGACGACAGGATGAGATGGTTGGATGGCATCACCGACTAAATGGACATGAGTTTGAGCACGCTCTGGAAGTTGGTGATTGACAGGGAAGCCTGGTATGTCACAGTCCATGGGATAGCAAGGGTCAGACATGGTTGAACGACTGAACTGTTCTTGCTTTTTTGCGTATCTATATTGCCCTTCAAGACAGAGTATCATAGAATCTGTAACACAGCAGACACTTTAAGTATTTGTTTTGTGAAGTAAAGTATACATCTTCCTTTGACAACAGACAGGTAGTTAGTTCTCATATAAATAACCAGAATGTAAGTGGTTTGAAAGTAGGAAACTTGTCTATCACATCTCTTCCACTCCAGTGCTTGCGCGTGCTGCGTGCTAAGTCATTTCAAGTCAAGTCTGACTCTTTGTACTTGGAACATAGTAAATACTAAGTGTTAACCAAATGAATAAAACAAATACTTCTAATAGCCATAGTTTTTTATTTTGTAAGAAATTTTATTCCACGCCAGTTTAACTTGTATTTCTTGGTATTTTCCTGTTTTTTTTGTCATTTGGCTGATTAGTTTAAAAGCAGTGCAGAACACTCTTGTACACTTTCTCTTAGTGTCAAAGAAGAAAATGACTACCAGAAACAGACGTCTTAAACAGATTTTACAGTAGGAATTATAACCTCAACATACTTAGGGAAACTTTCAGGTCACAATGTTGACTTTAAAGTTCAGGAGGCTCAACAGCAGTCAGGACCCAAGCAACATAAAAAATAAAACCAGATTCTTCTTGTCAAATTTTAAAGTGAGAATTTCTCCCTGTAGAAACAACAATGTTGTGTACAAACATAAGTTGTCTGGGAGAGTGCATTTGCTATATACACACAAAAGACAGGACATAAGTGGAAACACAGCAAACACAAGAAAAACTCAGACCACATCTTAAAATTTTGGAAGATACATTTCAATGTATGTAAACAGCAAAACATTAAGAGGCTGGACTTAAAAACAGCACCTGAGGTAAGAATAAGAAATTGACTTTCACTAGAAAGTCACTAGAAATAAAGTCATCTGGTTGCTTTAACAAAACAGTAGGAAGCAATGGTTTTGAAGATGATGAATCATCTTCATTTTCATTTTCTAATGTATCTAAATTTTTTCTAAATACTTAAAAGGTATGTTCAATGTATGCTATTTACCATCTAAGAAAAGGAGACACATCACTGAAGAGTCAGTATTAATGCTCTGCTGTTTTGTTTTGTTTTTTTAATAAAAATCACTTTGACTCAACTCCCCCTCCACCAAAAAAAAAAAAAAGCTCCCCTTAAAATCCACTTAACTAAAAAATATTAAAGTTTAGTGTTGGTAGATGAACTTAAATCCTTCTTTTAAAAATTATGAAAAAAAGGTAAAATGACGTTTTTATTGACTTTACATTTACCCCAAAAGGTGGAAAACAATGGAAGGATGTACTATTTAGTCAAAGTATAACTATATTCGTGGTTTCAGTGTTGTATGGCACTTGAACTAGTTTCTAGAGAAAAGTATACCTGCCAGACTCCAGCAGAGGGAGAGTTGTTCGCCTGAAGCCTATCTAGTTCAAGTACCGACCAGGAACACCCACCTGCTCTTTCAAGTTCCTGATCTTTTTGTAAGAAATTTTCTAATTTATTCCTGGCCTTAACAAAAACTTCTATCAAAAAGCTGCAATGCGCCGCATCCCTCTCTGCACACGACCAACCCTACTCTACGGCAACGGACGAGGTGGTTCGACACAAACCCAGACAACGCATCGCCTCGCGTAACTACAGCAGCGCCCCAATAAAACCCTTACTGTTGTTTTAGTTGGTCAGTCGTGTCGCACTCTTTGCGACCCTGTAACCTGTAGTCCGCCAAGCTCCTCTGTTCATGGGATTTCCCAGGCAAGAATACTTGAGTGGGTTGCCATTTCCTCCTCCAGAGGATCTTCCCGACCCCAAGGATCGAATCCGCGTCTCCTGCGTTGGCAAGCGGATTCTTTACCACTGAGCCACCTGGGAAGCCCATTAAAACCCTTAATTCTTGCTAAAGAAAATTCCAAATCAGAGCTAGCGTCAATATCGTCAAATCCCTCCTCTTTGGCTCTAAAGGAAATGTACCTGTGGAGTACACGTTGCGCAGCAAACAAGGCACAGCTCCAAACCCGTATCCTCTATCCCTTTTTTGTTCCCTCTCAGCCCTCCCTCCCCTTCCTTGCGGAACTTGAGCAGAGCATTTGGCTCCCTTATCAGCCAGCAACAAGCGCCAGGAGGAACGCGCTCCCGGGAGATGCGGAGCTTGGAGGCTGAGCGCTGCGTCTGGCGCGCTGCGGCCGCTCAGCTCCGCCAGGTCCTCCCCGGCTCGCGCCTCTGCCGCCTCGAGGGGTCCTCCCCGGAGCCCGGGCTCCGCTCAGGGGATTCCCGCGACAAGCTGTGCCGCCAGATTTGCTACCTGCTTCCTGCCCCTCACCCGAGAAAAGAACCGCACTCCCGTCCCGTCAGGGCAAGTCCGGAACGCTCAACGCAAATCCCAGATCCTTCAACCCAGGAAGAGCGGCCCCGCGCACACACTTGCCAGCCGAGTCCTCCCGCTTCCCTGATCGCAAAGCCAGGGCCATTCCCCCACCGGGGCCTGAGTGGGTCCAGTACCATTCTCCTCACGGGGCGGACTCCGGAAGGGCAGCAACTCCACCTCCTCCTCCTCCGCGGCCTGTAGCCATCTATCGGGAAGCGTCTCCGGAGGCGGCAGCAGAGGCCGCCGGACAAGGACAGCCCAGGGAAACCTTCTCAGAACTAACTCAGCTCCGGCGCTAGCAGCAGAAACCGAGTCTTTCATAATTGTGCGACCAACTCCTCCGGGTGACTGGCCACAGGGACGCGCCCGCGCCCGCCTCCGCCGGCGACGGGGCTGCAGACAGACCACGTGAGGGGCGCGTCGTGTGCGTCGCCGCCCGCGGGCCGGGTCACGTGGAGGGCGCGCGCTCCCTAGTTTCCAGGCCGCGTCTCAGCGCGCCGCGCGCGCACGCGCCGGGCACGAGCGCCCTGCCCCCACTGCCCCGTGTTGGCCGAGTTGGGTAGCTTGTTCTCCCCAGGTCTGCGTGGGCTACGCGGGCCGGACTTCCACAAATGTTTGTCTCGGCTTGGGGAGTGGAACTTAAGGAAGCGATAGCTGAGGGTTAAGGTTTCAGACCTCTGTGACCCTGGCGGGAGTTGCGACATGGTCTCATCTCTGTTCACTCGGCCTGGCCTCTGCATTCTGAGCAGCTTTCACTAGCCCCTTGGCTGTGCCTCAGCGAGGGTGGAGGCCTTAGAAGTTACTCTCTCTCAGTCCAAAATGCAAAATTGTCTTGCCCCAAATCATGTTCTTCCTCTAGCTTCCTCTGTTTCTGCCAGCAACAATTCTTCTGTCTTTAACTGTGGGCACTAGCCTTTCCTTCCTCAGAAATCACCCACAGGCACGCATACACCACATCCCTAAACCAAAGACTGCAGGTTTTCTGTCTTTCTTTTGCTCTTGCACCAGCCCAGGTTTGACAATTAGGGATAATTTACTAATGTTGCTTTTCATACTCCAGAAAAGCGTCAGGAGTTCCTCTGTCTGATCCTGTGTGATCTGATTCTGTGTTAAATCTTTTAAAAACTGCTTTCTTGAGGAATAATTGACCTACAATAACCTATGCGTAGTTAAATATACAATTTGACGAGTGTTGACATATTGATGTATCTAGGATATCATCACACTGAAGACTGTGAACTATTCATTACCCCCAAATTTCCTTTCACTCTTCTTAATTCTCCCATCTTGTCCCTCCCCATCACTGCTTCTTAAGTGAAAGGCAGTCTGTCGTGTGTTTGCGACCCCGTGAACTATAGAGTCCTTGGAATTCTCCAGGCCAGAATACTGGAATGGGTAGCCTTTCCCTTTCTGCAGGGGATCTTTCCGAACCAGGAATGGAACCGGGGTGTCCTGCATTGCAGGCGGATTCTTCATCAAATGAGCTACTAGGGAAGCCCTCTTAACAACTACTAATCTGCTTTCAGTCACTATTGATCAGCTTGCACATTCTAGTGCTCAGTCGCTAAATCGTGTCCAACTATTTGTGAGCCCACGGAGGACCGTAGCCCACCAGGCTCTTTTGCCCATGGGATTCTCCAGGCAGTAATACTTAAGTGGGTTGCCGTGCCGTCGTCCAGGGGATCTTACTCACCCACGGATCGATCCTTGCATCTCTTGTATCTCTGGTGTTAGCATGCAGGTTCTTTACCACTTGGGCTTCTCTTGTGGCTCAGCTGGTAAAGAATCTGCCTGTAATGCGGGAGACCCGGGTTTGATCCCTGGGTTGGGACGATCCCCTGGAGAAGGGAAAGTCTACACACTCCAGTATTCTGGCCTGGAGTATTCCATGCACTGTATAGTCCATTGGGTTTCAAAGAGCCGGACACGACTGAGCGACATTCACTTCTTTACCACTAGCGCCACCTGGGAAGCCCTTCTCCGGTGTAGAGTTTTATGTAATGAAATTATGCCCTATTTACTTTTGAGGGACAAGGACAATCTGGCTTCTTTCAGCCAGCATAACTATAACTTTCAATTCACTGAAGTAGAATATTCTTTTCTTAAATATTTTTAAAAATTTATTTATTTCTTTGACTGTACCAGGTCTTAGTTGTGGCATGTGGAAACTTAAGTTGCAGTATGCAGGATCTTTAGTTGCGGCATGTGAACTGTTAGTTGCAGTGTGTGATCTGTTAGTTGCAGCACGTGAGATCTAGTTCCCCAAAGAAGGATGGAACTTGGGCACCCCTGCATTGGGACCTTGGAGTTTTAGCCACTGGACCACCAGCGAAGTCCCTGAAGTAGGCACTTCTCTTCAACAAAATTGATCCACCCGTTGTTTTTCCTAACAGGCTTTCGCTATACGTGTGAACAAGCTTTAAGTACAGATGTACCCTGGAGATATTTTAAGTTCCATTCCAGATTGCTGCAATAAAGTGAATATTGCAATAAACTGTGTCATACAATTTTTTTGGTATGGAGAGCATATAAAAGATGTATTTACCCTATACTATGATCTATTAAGTATACAGTAGCATTATGTCTTTAAAAAGCCCATACTTTAATTTAAAAATACTTTATTCCTTAAAAAATATTAAGCACCTGACAATCTGACAACACAGTGTTGCCACAAACCTTCAATTTGTTAAAAAAAAAAAAACTGTATTTTTTAAGGGCAATTAAACAAGGTATGCCTTATCTTGCAGAAAAAGAAAGTACAAAGTGTTAGTTGCTCAGTTGTATCTGACTCTTTGCGACCCCATGGTCTGTCCATGGGATTCTTTAGGCAAGAACACTGGAGTGGTTGCCATTCTCTTCTCCAGGGGATCTTTATGACCCAGGGATTGATTCGAAGTCTCTTGCATTGCAGGCAGATTCTTCACCATCTGAGATACCTTATTGTGTGGGACCAAAGTTAGAAAATGTTTTAAAACGTGTCATATCCTTGCTACTAGATCGTCAACCTCTTGGGGAAGGGATCTAAATGTTTATCATCTAGATCTCAACAGGGCCTATATACTTCCTGCCTTTAGGGAGTTTATAATCTGAAAAGTGGAAACAAAGCAGAAGATCGAAAAAAAAAAAAGAAATGCTTTGTTCTCCTTGGTCTTTGTGTTTCTGGCCTTTTTGTACACCAAAGTCCCCTTGCTTAGCTGGTGTAGAAAGTTTGGCTAAGACTGTGCTCCCAATGCAGGGGGCCCAGGTTCGATCCTGGTCAGGGAACTAGATCCCACATGCTGACCATGCCACCGCTAAAGATCCTGAGTGCCACAATGAAGATCAAAGACCCTGCATACCACAACTAAGACCTGACCCAGCCAAATAAATAATATTTTTTTAAAAAGGAAATAAGAATAGCCCCATGATACTTGATCTCCAAAACTTTTTAGTAAATTGGAACATTTAGTTTAGAGTTAGAACTTTTGCCTTCCATATCAGTAAACAATGAATATTGCCCACGATCAAGCCATCAGCCACTACCACCTTGTGCTCTGAGGAGAATTCAGAATAGAGAGATAGGATACTGGCTCCAGATAGTTAAGATGCAGATCAAAGGAATTACTTCAGTGAGCCCAGACTCTTGCATCTTCCCATACATAGGATCATTAACTTAAGATGTCTGATTTTTGTAATTAGCAGTAATATTTTGATGTTCAGTTATTTTTTTCCAGCAAAAATGCCAATATAACCTGACTCCTCCCTTACCTTTTTGGAACAGTTTCTCAGACCTGGCAAAGAGGCTGTTTCCAGGCTATAGTACTCAGTAATGTCCTCAGATAAAACCTAATTCTCAACTTTTATGTTGTGCTTTTTTTTTTTCCAGTCGATACCTTAATTGAACTACTGAAAATAAGTTCCATAGTTTATAGGTGATCAGACAGCCCTGAAGTTCACATATGCTGACCTTCAGTGAGCTGTCAATTCTACTGGATGAATTTATTCATTCCAAAAAAAGTGTTGAATTCCTAAGACTATGTCAAGAACAGTCCTATTCAATGTTCAGTGCTGAACAAGATGGAGAAATGCAATATTTCAGAAAAAGTTCATTAAATGCTCTGTTTCCATTTTGGTCAATGGCATCTGTATTTTCCACTCTCACTGGATCACATACTCATTCTCCTCCCTACCTTTGCCCAGTTATTTGCAACAATTAAAACATTTACTACTATACTCTATTTAAAACATCAAGTGAAGTTCATGAAATATAAAAAGATGTAAAGGTTTGGTATTGTACCAACTCTTGGGTTTTTAGCTTTCGGTCTAGAGCATATATTCTCAACCTCAGAGGGGATGACGTCACCTCCTTCAAGGTAGTGAAAATTGTTTCTTGGGAGAGTGGTGAAAAATATTACTTTATATATGTGTGTGTATATATATACACATATATATCTAGCACAGATATACACACAGTACATAAAGAAACATTAACATTTCATGAAGGGAGCATGGAATTAGGAAAAACATGGCTAAAAAGACTCCATAGAGGAGTGATCATGAAAAAAAGGATGAGAAACTCCGGTCTAGTGGGACTAGAGATGGATACAAGCGTAATTCATACTAAAGATAAATGTTTTAGTAGCTGTGTTTGTCAACCTCCCATAGGACCCTCAGTGTTCCTCATTTCCTGGTATTCTCACTCTTGTGTAGTTTCCTCCCACAATGAATAGGGCTGACCTGTGTAATCAATGAGATACTGTGAAAATGGCAATGTGTGACTTCTAAGCTTGGCCGTAAGAGACATTTTGGCTTCTCCTGACTCTTTTAGATCACTAATTCTGGGAGAAACCAGCTACCATGTCATGAAGACACTCAGGCAGCCTCTTAAGTGGTACATGTGGCAAGGACTGAGACCTCCCAACAACCAATACCACTTACTGGCAAAAAATGTGGAGCTGCAGGAATGGAAAATAGTACTGACACTTTGGAAGATAGTATGACAAAAACTAAATGTACTCTTTTGATAATATCCAGCTATTGTGATCTTTGGTACCAAATGAGGTAAAAACTTTTGTCCACGTAAAAATATGCAAATAGTTGTTAATAACAGCCTTATTCATGATTGCCAAATAATCAAAGCAATCGAGATGTGTTTCAT